TTTGTTTTCTCCACTTATATCGTCCAATTCATGGATTTATGTTCGGCTTTGTACTGTATCGAATCCTTTTTCATTTCTTTCTGATTCTGATATTTCATGTTAGGACAAAGATACTTAGTCAGGGAGAAAGCCTCTTTGTCTACTACGTTTCCTGAGAAATGTAACTTTATAATGAAGCATCTGTTTTTGTAGTTAATAAGCAAAGCAGAAAGGTTTCTGCAGCAACTAAGTTTTGACCAAAATGCAACTTTAGGGTTACTTCGATAATGTCTGGTCAATGGTCTTTTGTGTACTATTATTTCTATAATTCCATGACTTAAAACCGAGTTACTCTTGCCACAGATCATTTTAACTTAATTACTAGAACACTTAAATTGCACAAAATGCGCCAACACTATTGACGTGCCAGTACGCCTTTTTTTCTTGCTTTTGGCGCTTTTCTGAAAAGTGCTCCGTGCGGCGAGAAGACTGGTTTCCTGGTCAACATATCTAGCAAGCAAGGAATCCCTCTTTTTCTGATTACACTTTTAATAGTACAGACAATTACCTACAGTCGAGTTACAGTCCCACGAACCTTACTGGCGTCCCTTAAGCAACAAAAGTCGGCCATCAAATCGTAGTGATTGCAAGGGTGGCTTGTTGATCTCATTACTCGAAATCTCCTTAGGGCACTGACTACCTACTCAATCTTCGTGTACTTCATAAATGTCATTACTTTTTTAGTGAAATTTTCAATTTTAACTTTCTGTTTATATTTGGAAAGCAAATAGTGCAGTTGTTTTACCAGAATCTTATTAAATTTTATCAGCTTAAAAACGTAATAGGAGGTAATTTTAGTTATTGCAAATGTCACGGTTTGTTCTGACCGCTCAGAGGCTCGAAGATCTAAGTGTACATTTTCAGAAAAAGGCCAATTTATTTTAAAAATGTGGCCTTCAAGCAAGTTCCAAGATAAATTATTTAAAAGAAATTATGCAGTTTAAAAAGGGTAATTAGTATCTTTTCAAAAGAAAAAGATTATTAATTACTGAGTTCTTAGCACGTGGCTTATTATTGATGTTCGTGTTTTACAATGAATTGGTTTAAAAGATACACTAAAAAGTCTCTTGAAGCAATATCATGTCTCAAAATTTGCGAAACAACAAAGTATTAAACTGTAAAAATTGGCATTATTTGAACTGCTCTGAGCGCAAAGTAATTGACCAAATACCTGAGCGGTTTAGATTTATGTTTGCTGAAAAATTGCCAGGCTTTTTTTTAATAACCTTCTTTGTTTATTTGGCCATGGTAATTATTTATCGTAAATATCAACCCATATAAAATCACGACGCTTATCCAACACTCCTATACAAGACCTTTCTTATGAAACTTGAGTATAATTGCTTCCCACAGTATTTTATGAGCCTTCTTCCAAGTGCAAAATCTTTTCAAATAATACCCTTGCTTGCGAAATTCTTAACTAAGAAAAAACTTTCGAAAATTTTATATCGTAGCGTAAATGATCCTAGTTGTACTCAATTTTAAAAATCAGATATCTGTCTTTAAACAAAAAATCAAACCAAAGTAAGGGATCTTGTGGCGTTTACGAATCGTGCGGGGAAAATTTTGTATAAGTCAATCCATGCATCTTTTCAGTAATAGTTTGTTTTGAAGGACGTGGTTAAATTATAAAATGGTGTCTTTTAATTAGCACTATGGTAGTGTCTTTTTTCTCAGACTGATTCGTTGCTCGGGAAGATTCAAAGAAGCTGTTAATGCTGTAAACAAAAAAAAAAACCTTAAAAGAAAAACGATTTGGTAGACGAGCATAACTAATTAATTATTGTATAAGTACTATTATTTTAGGATTTTTGGACTTAGGTTCTAAGACTAGAGACCATGTCGTTTCTATAGATAGCACTGTTCTTCCGGACATATGCAACAAAACGCAGTCGCTAAGGCGCCGGGGAATTCCGGTTTTTTTAGTTTTTGTTTTTCTTTGTTTAACCTTTTGAAAGGTTCTTTTTTTTTCTGGTTGTTTTTTTATTGATAAATTTGACTCTTTCTTGAAGGCAACCGACTGCAGATGTTTTGTGACGCCGCAAAAGTTACTTGTATTTTACGTAAATAAAAATGAGCAGGAGATTTTATTAATTTTAAAATCGTTACGATGGGGTACTTGTTTTTTGTGTACATTTTGACCTCAGAGAGTCCACAAAGTAAGTGGAAATTTCAACGGAATCTTTTAGTCATTACTTAGTTTTCGTAACAATTTTCACAGCAGATTTGCTTTTTTTAGCTAGGAAATTTTCTGGGGTTTGATAATAACAATGATAGTAAAATATTCCAAGAATACCAAACGAAGCGAAAATTCATAAAATACGCTAAAGTTAGCATGAAAGTGTTTTCTACAAATGTTTGCTATTTTGCTTAACTTTTGCTTAAAGATTATTAAAAATATTGCATGAAATGAAGTAGTAGTCAAACAATTAACTTTCGTTTATATTGAATTCTAACAATTTAGGAAAAAAGCCTTCACGTGCATTAGCTGCCCAAAAATGTCATTTTGAACCGAATGTGAGTTATCTGTTCATAGTTGAAGGATATCATTACATTCTTTTGATTCGTAAATAAATTATTCTTCTCTAGTACGGATTTGTTGCAACATAAAAAGGAAACAAAGTACATAATTACGAAGCCAAAAGAATTAAATGAAATTAATTTTAAAAAGTCAGCTGAACATTTAAAAATATCCGGAAAGGAGTGGACTAATCGTGAAGGACACTCTTCCATTTTTATTTCAAGATAATTTTGCTTTGCTAAACTGCGTCACTTTGCTGTTAATAGAGAATCGGTGAATCGAATTAGCGATGCATGAAACCTCACCGTGAGGTTTAATCACTTTTTAGCAGCCGAGCGATGTTCCCAAAAGTACGTTTTGTATGAGTGTAAACGAAACGAGAAAATAATAAATGCAGGCTAACTGATAGCAGGAACTTGTCTTGTCGCGCTAGCAAATTTGAGGGGCAGTTCGTATTTGTTTGTGTTCAAGTGCAACGTACCACTGAATACTTTTGCCAGTTTGCAAGTATATCTATTTCACGAATATGTAACGTTATTAGACTGACTCAAAAAATGAAACAAGTTTGAGAGAAATCGCGTCGAGTTTCTGCGAAAAGGAATATCAAATTGTGAAAGTCTTTTAATTTGCTGGTCAGTTTAACAAAATTCCTGTTGTTTCTTTGATGGTTCCGACCAACGTTATTTGGGCAACAAATGCGTAATTTTGAATTTGTGGGAGGCCAGGAAAAGGTCCCTCTAGTCATTAGCTTAATTATTATCAGTAGTATTTTTTAAAGGATTTATGAAATAGGCTGCTTTTAAAACCGATGTCCAGTAACTGGTACACGAATTTTAAAGCCCGAATTTTTATTGTATTGTGGTATGGCAGCCTTGTTTGTGTATACGTTATTGCTTGATACCAGGGTTTATGTTTACATAACCCTAAAAGATAAGTCAACCTGTCCGCATTTTAATCCTTGTGAATCTGTGGCTTTAAGAAGCTAATCCCAGCGGAAAAGGCAGTAAGTAGGTGCTCTTATAAAACAAGCGACGAATCTAGAATATAGACGAGAACTTTCACTTGTTCAGTTTGTTGCGCGATATTTCTGACATATCGGGTATATATTTATATATGTCAGCAATTTTAAACAAGTTCGATCACTCCCAGCTTAAGGAAGGCAGCTAACAGTGGACTGTACGTGTGGTGGATTGAATCGCTATTTTTTTCTATTGCGGTTTTTAAGAGTCTCCGTTAATTATAGTGAATTATACCTAAGACAGACTTCTTGAAATGACTTAGCTGTGATGCGTTTGAGTTTCAATATACCACCGTTTGGGCCCTTGTGGGCGGCTTTTTTTCGCTTTCAATTCTAACCAAATCGTCTTTCATTGTCAAAGACGGCCAGATAAACACATTGTGTTAAAATTACCATAAAACAAAAAACCAACGGCTATCCATGTAAGTGGTCTATTGTGGATTAGGAATTATAATTTGCCGCTAGTGAGACGAAGCCGCCATTATTTGGAAAGAGGCAAGGCGCGTTATTGTAACGAGGCGGTACACTTTGCTTCACAGCTTTCCTCGCCTCTCATATTAAACGGCCGGGAGGTGATTGTTTCTAAAACAGATTGCTTCTACGAAACGGTGTCGAGATTTGCCCCGTGAAGTTGTTGACATTTATAAATGAGTGAAAATTAGGCCAGCGTATGCTAAACAGTGGTGACTGAATAGGGGTCACAAACCTTTACTTAGATGAAGTACTCGACCGTCACATAAAGTCATTTTACAAATTGACACTTTTATAACATGACGGAAAACCAGCTTAGTGTCCAAGAGCCTAACCAGTGAGTGTGGCAGGTAGTTACCAACATCGCGTTAGAATGTCAGGTTTAATAATATAAGTACTTCAAGCATTGCCTTTAATTAAGCGTATTGCAGGACCCGATAATAAATTATGGAGCTGCAGAAAAAACCACAAAGAACAACAATTGCAAAAGAACAACAAAATTGTCCAAACAAGCAAAGTTACACTCGCTAGTGTTGGTCCCGTGTGTCTACTAACTGTTTTTCTTAAACGATTTGACCCTGTGGTTCTACTGCCCCAGTGCAATGTCATTTACGTTGACTTAATATTTCACACCACGTACGGCATGTTTAACTTCGAGAGCGGCCCAACAATTATTAATATTCTCTAAGCAAAGAAGAGTTTATTTAGCGGCGGTGTGATTGGTCGACGTCTTTGCGCACCGTCAAACGTATTCGGCTTCTATTTATTGCTAAATTTCCTTATTTATGAATTTCAATTATTTTTCGTCGTTCACGGTTGCTGATTGGTCTATGGTTCTGTATTTAAATATCTATGGTTAATTACTTTCCTGACATATCAGAACGAGGTGTGACTTTTATTCATTGACGGCTAATTAGGAAGCTGCTTGGATCGACGGAGTAATAATTTCATTTGCAGTCGATCATCTGGACCAGTGAAAGTTTGTTATTACTTCGCGCTGCACGGACCTCCCGTCATTACGAGCAAAAGAACAGCGAGACAACACGCGCTATGCATTCCGAGGAGAAGAAACAACCCACATCTTTTTCTGTGAACCACATCTTACAAGCCGCCGAGAACACAATGTCTAGTGAAAGAGCAAGAGAGACAGACGGCGCAAATACTGCCAATTCCAGCGAAGACAGCAACGTCAAGATTACCCTGGACGAGGCGGATTTGTGGCGGAGATTCAAGTCACTGACCAACGAGATGATAGTCACCAAAAACGGAAGGTGAGTAAGTTAACTGAGACCACCCTTAAAAAAATTGTTCTGAGTGCATTTCATTTAATTTTTGGGTTTTATTTATAGACGGATGTTTCCCGTACTCAAGATCAACGTCACTGGACTAGAGCCTAAAGCAATGTACTCTTTCTTGCTCGATTTCGTGTCCGTTGATGGTCACCGATGGAAGTACGTGAATGGAGAATGGGTGTCAGGTGGAAAACCAGAACCTCCGACCCCTAGCTGTGTATACATCCACCCTGATTCGCCAAATTTTGGAGCACATTGGATGAAGCAGCCCGTAGTTTTCTCCAAAGTGAAACTGACCAACAAACAAAATGGCAATGGGCAGGCAAGAAAATTTCTCTTTTGTGTATTTGTTTTATTTTACGCGGCATAAAAGAAAACCTTTTTCCTAATCAGACTTCAAAGAAAAAAAAAACTTCACTTTCTTATTCGGCCAGTTTGTTCTGGGTAAAATTTAATAATGGCCAGGTAGATGATTGTGTTTAATGTTGTTCACAAAGAAATTAGCTATTGAATAAAGCACGTGAATTGAAGTATCTCTTGATTTATCGCAAATGTTATTTTTTTGTCGTTGCAAAACCAGCCAATTATTGAATGGCTGTGTCTTTTTCCTTTACAGATTATGCTGAATTCCTTGCACAAGTACGAGCCAAGAATACACATCATTCGTGTGGGTGCACCGGAAAGCAATAGAACAGTGGTCTCGCATTCATTTCCAGAGACGCAATTTATCGCGGTAACAGCTTATCAAAACGAAGAGGTTTGTTTGGCATTGATTGCAAATTTGATTTCTTAGCTGGTGGTCTTTTTTTCAGTAGTATCCAGGGAAATTTAATGAGGCTAAAGAAAATTGCTTTCTATTCTTATCATCGCGCAGATTACAAGTTTAAAGATAAAGTATAACCCCTTTGCGAAGGCTTTCCTGGACGCGAAAGAACGGTAAGGATTTATCGTCACGCGCTAGCATGTGAATGTCTTTAATTATTTCACTTTTTTTTGTCTGAGTCTTATAAATTCTTCTAACTTTTCAGGCAAGAGCAAAAAGAGGCCCTAGAGCAGGCTGTGGAGTCTCATTCGGCCTATTCGCAATGTGAGTTTGTTATTTCACAACAAATTGATTTGTTATTTTAAGAGATGTTTGTGAATTGTACACTTGAAACTTGGTCAATCGTATGTTGTGTGATGCTTTTGGAGGGCACTTTCAAACTCTGTTCCATGATTAGAGACTCTCTGTGGCGTTAGCGCTTATGTGTGCGCGTCAGCGAATCGTTGAAAATCGTTAATGCCCGTGGTTTTGAGATGAGAATTTCCTCGAGCAGTCGATATTCCAATGTTAGATTTTGCATCGAGAGGAACTGGGTTGACAGTTGGTTAAATTTTACGCTCACATTTCGCACCTATTCTGTCATGCCACGCATGATATTATTGCGCGTTTTCCTTTAGGAAGAAGTGTCTGCATTACTTAAGATGTCTTTTGTTGAAAACAAGAAGCAGAAAAAGTGAGAAATCAGCCTCGTTTTTGTTCACACATTTTTCACGCTAGGCGTCTTGTTTCGCATCACCTCGAACGCGATTTTTTGTCTTTGGTCGTGTACGTTACCAATGTCTCTTACTTATTGATCTTTCGGTTTCTAATAATTTTATTTTTGCAGATGGTTGGTTTTGCGCTGGTCCGTCGCCTGTTTACCAACACCACCATCACCCAAGACCGTACGCGCACATTCCTTCTTCGCCATATGACCGTTTAGGAATCAGAGGCCATCGCCCATCTCCGTACCCTAACCCATACCACAAGCGAACGGATTTGCCAACACAAGGTAACTATCTCTCTTTCTCGCAAGTTTGACGATGTTTTGCCGAAAAAACGCTGAAAATGGTTGGCGCTAGGTTTGAAAACTACTGATCCGTGAATTTATTTGGATAATTGCATCAAATGAAAGTTTTTCCTTTTATACACCAAAAAATACCAGTTTACGTGGCTCACGATCGAAGGCCGGTTTTTACAAGGTAACGGGTGTAAAGCTTTTTGGCCTATCCCTGGACAATTAAAACCTTTTTGAAGGAAATCGCCACGGAATTTTTATACCGGATACATATATATACTCAATGCAAATTTTATGTCAACTTTGAGAGCAATTCTTGACGGGAATTTTACTCTTGTCAAAATTGTCCAGGATATCAACAGCATTTTGTCAATAGAGAAAGATTCACTTTTTATTGTGATATAACAGAATGATTGCTGATGCAATAGTTCGTAAGTAAAATTTAATAAAAGTTCAATCGATCGAAAAATTGCCCGAATAGAACACAGCTTAGAGAGAAAAAGACAAAAAGAAAGAACCATTTAGCTTTCCTTTGGCTTCCTCGCAAATCAGAAGGCGACTTAAAATATTCGTTTTTTGACTGGAAAGTAATATACGGAGACCAGCAAGTTATTGAATCTTTTTTTACCTTTGTAAGTTGCGCAGTTTGTGCAGCTGCCCTCGTTCATTGTCGAACGAAGAATGCGCCTGAACACTTCATACAATAGCTCAATCGACCAAATGGCGCAGACGCAACCCCCAAACCCCATGTTAACCTTCAAAGGCGTTCTATGCGGCCTAAACAAACCTCCCAAACCAGCTTGCTTATTTTTTTCTCCTATCATTTAACGTCAGAGAAGTCGAGAAAAAACTATCTGTTTAATCACTGACCTTTTTTTTTTTTACGGTAGACCTTTTACAAAGCTTCCCACCTTGACGGCTTTTTTGTCGCAGTTTTTTTATGAAACTAATTTTTGCAATTGGTCTTAAAGGTAACATGCGATCTTGTCATTCTATAAAATGCGTATTTTATTCCGTGCTATAAATACGAAATAGCTTTAGTCTGGATCATATGCCCTTCTAATAGCTGAAGGATTGTTTTCCAAATCAGATATTACTTTGAGAAAACCAGCCTGAACAACGGGACTTGAAAATTTCTTTTGGCTCATTCTGTAACCTCTGGCAACGGACGGTAATCTGATCATAAGGGACTTGCTAAAATGGTGTTTCTTTAATTTCTCTCTTTTACACAAAAAAGTCGAGAACTTTACTAGGCAAAGAGTCTACTAAGACGTGGGAATGTATTCAATAAAATGACGTGAAAAGAAAGTCTTTGCAAGTCAACTTGTTTTGAAGCATTCAAATATAACAGCACTCCGAGTTAAATAGGTGACAGCTCATCTAGTTTTACTTTTTATTCTCGGTAAAACTACGGTTAACGCTGAACGCTGAATTGATAGCTTTTTAGCTTATTCTTAATGCAACCTCTAAAGACGTAGAGGTAATATAGATTATTTTTACAAGGCAATGGCTTAATCCCTTTCTTTAATGCGTTGCACAAATTTTGTGGTTGAAAATAAATGTGGTCAAATTTACTTTTGAACTCCTTTAACAGCCTTAAAAGAAAACTACTCTTTAACCACTGCCACGATTGGATACGGTAGTTGTAACTTTTTATTCTGAGGACGAAATCTAATGGTGTCGGCATTCAAATGAAACCTCTTCAGCGGCACTTTCGTGCTTTTGTCATTCAGCATTTTACAAAGTAAATCAAAATTTTTGTTTAGTTTTTACTTTGTCCGCAGGGTTAAGCACGTCTTCAAAGTATACTCAGCCATTTTTCTTTTTCATGTTCTCAGCTGTAGCTCACGCACCTCAGTATTTTCCAAGCGACTCCAACCAGCTGATTTTACCTGGCCCCACAGCTTTGGACAACATTTCCATGTCAACGGCCTCGCTTGCGACGCACTCGCATCACACGCCAGCCGGCCCTCATCAGCTACATCCCGGGCTGAGCCCATTCATGGCTAATTCTTCCTACAGCTCGGCTCATAGAAGTACTATCGATATGGACTTGGCTCATAAGGAAACTGACAGATCGAAATGTCTTCAACCGCCTGGGTTGTCTCTCCATCCAACTTGGAATACTCTGGGTCAAGCCTAATTCTTTTAACGGCAGTGGGTCAGTTTTCTTTCGCAGAACGTAAAAAAGTTAGTTTTTGTAACAAAATTAAGGTTCAACTTTAATTAAGGAAAAAGTGTTCAAATCAAGCGTACCAGGCATTGATGACATTCTTTTACTACGCTGTAAATGTCTGATTCAAACTGCTCTTGCGAAGGAAGAGAAAATTATAGCCCTCTTTCTGGAAGGATAAACAGCTAGTCCTAAGTTTTCTATTCATCTTTCTGCAAAGCATTTGCTCGGAAATTGAAGTTAAGGCTAAAATGTGTTCTTGAAAAACGATAGATTTCTCTTTACGGGGATAGAAACTTTATGTTCTCCGTTTTCAAATTGGCGGTATGATCATATTGTATCGAAACAGAACGTATGTCAGCTTCTAAATTGTCTAAGATGAAAGTCATTTATAAGAACAACAAATTCTTTATTTAAGAATCATTTCCCATATAGCTTTGGACGTTTTGTTCTGGTCAATTTTTTTGCCTCTTACTTAATTTATTTAAAATCGTTTCTTTCTGGAATTAAGATGAAAGACCAATCAATTTAGTTATCGTTTGTAAGGATATGTACATAAACTAAAAAGATTTATTGATTCAAAAGGAATATAACGGGTAAAGTCCAGTGAGAGAAATACAGTATTTATTAAAAGATGATTTAAATTACAAGAATGAAAACTTTTAGAAGATTAGACCTTGTAAATATCATTTGTAAAGAAGCGGTTGTGTTGATGCATGTTTTACGCAGTAAAGGACGTTCTTCACGCGAGAGTGAATCTTGCAAATTAAATGTAGTGTTCCATGATTTGTGCAGTGTTGGGATGTTAAAGAAGGGTTTAATTTTGACAGGAGTTGTAAAGTCAAGTTCTATGATAAGCCTGGATTAAAGAGTCAGAAAAGGAAACTGGATAAGTTGTCTTATTTTTATGCTCTCTTGTTTATTTTGGTTTGCATTGAGTCCAATAAATTTGATGGCTGTTGAAGGCTAAATGTAGTTTGGATTCGCTCTAACAAATGCCAAGCGCTGGAAACGGCCGTTTTTCAATCTCGTTACGGTGGTAAACTGACTCAAGCAATGATTAATCCAAATCTTCGTGTTTCACTCACGTATCGACGCCGACTATAGTCTTTCTTCGAAACTCGTACCTCTAAAATTTTTTGGTCTACCCTACGCAATATTTAGCTACGTCCAGTTCGAGTCCAGTAAAATGCTAATTTCTACGACTTCGAACAGAGATTTAGCAGGTCAGGTGAATGCATGGGATGGAATTGTGCGGTAACGTAAACAATGTCAGCGAGGTCCTGATCAAGGCGGGCTTATCTTTAAGGAGGTGCCCAATTTTCCGCGTCACTTAAAAGTTATACTCGGTGTTGTTTTTAATAAGTAGAGGGGTCAATTGGCGTGAAATTGCGCATGAGAAAACGTCTTCGTGTGAATTTACAGTCGAAAAGCGATCTTCGTGTCTGAGTTAAGTGTCCGAAGAAAAGAAAACAACTAGTTTACCACTCCTTCACACTAGCTTGCTATTCAAAAACACAACAACATCGACATGTTGATAAAAATTGCCACTGTGTTATCTTTTTTCCTGCAATTTTTGTAACACCTTGCGATGTTTTCGTTCTAAATACCACACGGAAATATACTGAGCGTAGATTTTTTGCGTCGTGTTTACTGGGTAACGTGCACAGAGTCCTTTCAAGAACGCCATTTTTACCGATCTTTAATTATTATTTTTTGAGTCTTTGTAAAGCGGCATTGCTTAGCCACATGCCGGCAGCGTTTCAAACGCATATTCAATTAATTTGACCTTTGTTTTTAACACTGAGGTGTAAATTTGGACCACAATAGATAGTCGAGATTGACAAAGGTTAATAAAAAACGTTTCAGTCTCCGAAATGATTGAGTTTGGCATTCTCGAGCAAACATCCACTTCTATAAACCAGAAGGTGACCCTTTCAATCATACTTGAACTCTTACCACCATGAAACCATCCCTGTGCATTTCAAAGAAAGAGAGACTCTTGAGTTTTCTTGTCTCGTGTACCTGTTTTCGGCACTTTGATCATAAGAGTCGTTCTTTAATCAGCCTATGATTGTGGTCAGCTTTGTTTGCTGAAACTTGCTAAACTATATTACTTTCGACGTCCTATGTTATGGTAATGAAGGGTTAATAACCGGAGTCCTATGTTATTTACTGCTTTCTGTTAATCACAGAGTTTATTGAAACTCCATATTACGGACGCATCTTTCTTTGATATGATAATTTAACTGAAATCGATGCGGCTTAACTATTGTTTTTAAGAGACCCGGTGCCCGCCTAACCGCGGCATTCCGCTGGAATTTTTGACAATCATGACCTTTCGATGACTTTGCGCGAAGCGAAGAAAAGAGACGTTTTTCATATATCTTTTCAGAATGCGCTAAAAAAGCTTCTTGCGATGCGTAAATTGTCCTGTAAATGGACATATGATAATTCAAAAGTAAGCACCAAAACACAAGTTTTAGAACAGTAATTTAAGGGCTAAATCTCATTAAACTACAAAATCTAACTTAAATACGAAGTTGGGACATAAAGTAAAGTTTGTCTGTGGACCTCTTCTAGGACTCGGGGAACCTGTTACGCTAAAACAACGAAAAGTAAACACCGAAAAAGTAGTTTGGCATCGTAAACTAACGAAACTGAAAGAATCTTAACATGTATGAAAGGATGAAACGATGAAACTAGAGTAAGCCTTATCCAAGTGTGACCCCGAATGAATTGGGCCCATTTATTTTATCAATACATGTTATTTCACTCGCATTCTCTGATCAACAAATAAATATAAATCGCGACATTTGCTTTCTTCAGTGTTCTTTATTCAGTGCTACTTGGTCACAAGTGTGGCACCAAACAAAGGGAAAGAAATAAATCAGATTCGGTTATTTATCCAAAGCGAAGTTTTTTTCAGTTTTTTTCTTCCTTTAAAGGGATTTCTGTCCGGTAATAACTGACAGGCAAGCTGCCATCAGCACATGAATGTATATGTTGTAGTTAATTTTTCATCTGGATAAAAAATAAACTACAACATATACATTGATTTGGACATCTTGACGACTGTAGTGTATTAAATTGGAAACCGCAGGGAAGTGGGGTGGAGAGTGGTTGTTGCAGAGGTGAGTTACGTCTACGGTTATCCTCTCTGAATAAAAACTGTTTTAGCCATTTCTAACTAATCCGAGCTTGGTGTAGGGTTTTTCAACGGGTAAAGTTTTTTTAAGGTCTCTGTACGACTTAACCGGCCTCTGGCTCATCTCCCTAGGGGGTGGGGGTTTGTACTTGTTCTGTACTGGAATCGCGCTATGATGACTTATCGTCGAGCATTAACAGAACAGTAGGAAAGTACTTCTCGCGAGCCATTGTACACGGCGTAGTCGCGGTTTAGAAGTATGTTAAAGAAAAAACAAAAACCAAACCAACAAAACACTCACGTAACTGATAAAAAAAAAAAAAAAACCGAAAAAACAGTCTTTCTTGAATCTACACAGGATACCCAGTCAAATGATATTCACTGTATCTTAACCGAAAGCATATAACCGCTGACTTTAACCAAGGACAGGAATAGACGGCTGCTATAAGTGTAAGAGAGTGTAAGGGCTTGAAGGGTATACATTCAAGAAAGCCTTAGGTATGTGTTTTATAAATGAGCAGCGTTGTTTTGTAGTTTTCCGGCTAAAAATGCATTTTTTTCTGGTAGTTTCATCAAAAAAGAGGCGAAACCAAGTGCAGGTATCAATAAATGAATTTTGCGGTAACATTGACCAAAAAATTAAACTATGGTTATAAACTAAGGTTTGTGGCCGGTCCGCGGATTGGTATCATTTAAATTGTACATAAACTCGTGCCAGTGATAGACTAAGTTTGCTGGAGAATTCGATCAAAAAGTGAACTGGTTTTGCATACTTGACGAGAAATCCTTCTGAAGTTCGTTGCTATATTTTCAAATGAATATATTTTTTGTATTCAGAACAGAGAAGATTTTTTCCTAGCCGTGACACCAGACAAACTAACACGATAAAAAGTGATTGAATTGGCGGTGTTTAATACCTAGTCCAGCCGCAAAAAAATATCGACAATAATTCATATAATTGATTAACTAGGCAGTGTTTGTTAAGATTATTTTGTACTATAATTCGTTTGATAACTAGTGTCTGAAACCTGGACCCACGCTAATATTCAATGTTGTAAACCTGTAAATTTTTGAGCAAAGAATTGAAGTAAATAGCATGTGGTTAAGTTAGGTGTGTAGCGTCCATCTGTCGGAAATTAGTACATTGAACTGAAATTCACCTTTGAAAATTTCGAAAACGTTAGAGAAAATGAATTTTTTCCTGTAGAAGGTTGTTTTGTAAGGAAGTTTCATTTCCGCTCTCGGGATTCTGTATATAACACCTAAAGCTATAGGACCGTTAAGTGAGAAATGTTTCCGAGTTCACTTTCCAGAGTTGCGATGAATAAATGAAAAATTGTCCAATATGTTGAAGAGACATCTCCTTCAGTTTTCGTTTATTTTGCTTGTATTTGTAACGAAAAAACACTGATCAGGTGTGGAATTATATACACAAACTCAATAAATTACGCTATAGGGATAATCTTCGCGCTTATTAATTTCAATAATACACGTGCGTGCGCTTATGAACTTTGCCGCTACAAACTGAAGGAGAAATGTCACACGTGGGTATAATTAATGAACGCACAACTTCTTATGAGATTTGACAATTTAACAAATTTGATGCCAGACGGCTTTTTTCCCTTTCTTTTTCGCGCAAGACCTACTTTTTCAAGAAAGGTATATGATAAATTTTTGCCTCACCTCGCTTATAACTGGCCTATATTTATAACGGGATATTTTTATTACTTAATTTATAAAGTCGCTTATGCGAAACTTTCACTGAAGGAGAAAATCTAATTTGTTTTGTGATTGATCTTTTATGTATTTCTCGTAAACTAAGAAGATGATAAAAGTTGTTAAGTTGTGTCTTCTTTTTGTTGATTTAATGTCAATATAACTTGAGTATTACTTTTGAGCACTTTGTAAATTAAGAATCAACGAACTGATATTTCAAGTGCTTCATCTTTTAAAGCTGAGACTCGCCCTACAACAGGCGTCAAAAAGGAAACGGTGAACCGGATTTTTGTAACCGGATATATATAGCCTCTTTAAGACAAAAAAGCCTTTTTGCCGGAACAAAATAATTTATCCCAATTTATTACCTTAGTTTTTCTTTCAAAATTAATAATTGGGATAATCATTTCATTTGAGACCTTTTCAAGGCAATAGCACCCATGTTTTATTGGGAACTTTTCATTTTAATTCCTCTCTATTATAACCTCAATTATGACTTTAAGAGTGTGACTTAATGCTTAGGCGACCATATTGTATCTGATGTGGTGCTGTTTAGTACACTGAGCATAAACTTCGCAATTTCGTGCTTTCAATAATTACTACTTTTTGGCGATGATCAGTTAACATTGTTTGAAATATCGGTATCCAATCATCATTATTATTTTTCTTTATTTCGATCCACTTTATTAATTTGAGGGCCACGTTGGTTTCATTCCTTTTCTTATTTAGACTTGAAAAGTATTAAGATTAACGATTCCCCAGTTTAGGTAAATTTCTTAAGTGGCTTGCCAATGTTTGTGTTTCAATTCCATTAGAGTAAACATAATCGCTTCTATTTAGACAGTAGGCGATCCACAGAAAGAATGCTCTTTGCTGCCATGGTAGCCAGAACTTAACGTTAAGGTGTAGAAAGTTACGCTTGATGCCGAACCCTTTTTGGTTACCGACTACTGCTGGGCTATCACATGGCAAAGCCGAAGAGGTGGTAGGGGGTTCCTCTTTATGTTTGCATTGGCCACGTTGAATTTAACCCTTTTATTGCTATAAGCGGCCAAACGAAAATTCACAAGATATTTTTTTCAAAATCATAAGTAACAAATAGCATAGGTACAACATTACTGCTAAAGAGATTTTATTTGAATGGTAACACTACAGCATTCCGTCCACAGATTCAAAAGTTAGATGTGGGAATCAATGTTTGAAACGATCTGAACCATTCGTCCGCTAATATGGGACCCATCCGTAATTGCCTATAGTGTTCATTGATACCGTGGATAGTACTTTTTGTTCTATATGAAAACATATACATCGCCGAAAGAGGGTATTGGCTTGTATTGCGTGTTCAAAGCGGTGGACTCAGGCGAAAGGCTCTCTATCTACGAGACTCAAACCGAGAAAACAGAAAACAACTTTCTGTGCGCACGCCCATAGGCGTACGGGCCGGGAGGGCGAGGGGGGCTGCAGCCCCCCCCCAAAGTTTGGGCAACTCAGATTTTTGGGGAGCAAGAGAAAATTTGGGCAAAGTGAGTTTTTAAAGACGTTTCCATGTTTTTTTTTATTATTATTATTTTGAAGAGATAAATATTTTCTATTTTAACCAGAAGTCAGCGTATACGTTCACACGAGACAGTGGTTGCCTAGCACGTGATGAGTTTCTGGTTATAAGGGAAGGGTATCATATGCTGATTTTTTTATTGTTGGGCACTGTACTCCAATGGGCTATTTCCAGTCGTGAATTGATTAGAATAAACTTCCGCATAACTTTCTAGAATCACCTCCACTCCTAGAACAGTGTATGGCAGAACACGCATCAGCAGTGGGTCTGAAAGTGAAGAAGTGGCTGACTAATTCTCAGTTTGAATTACGAGAAGAATCTTAATTTTTTTGAAAAAAATCTATCGAGCGGTTTAAAAATTATTCACTAATTTGTAAGTAGACCGAAACGTTTACAAAACCCCTAACGAGAGCGCTAATCAAATCCTTCTTTATAGCAATTGGCGGGAGCTATCTCCATGATCTTTCACACATGTTTTTAAAAAGATTGAAACTACTGTGAGGAGAAATTGCATGTCAAAAGCGCTTCGTTTTCTTCAGATTACGGCTAAACATCAAGATTTTCCTTTTTTACCTTATTTCTAACAATAAAAACTTCATCCCAAAATATTTCGATAACGCTGTTACAGTTCCGTTTTAACTTCACGAACATCGCGGCGACTATTGGAGGAAAGAGCTCCCCTGAACGATTTTGTAAAAACAGTTCCCAGTGAGAAATATGGCAGCAAGTATAATACATGATAGCAAGAGAGGATAAAGGGGACAGAGAAGGCATCCCCCATACACACCCTATTCCATAAGTAATTCGTCTCGAGTTATTTTTAGAATCGGGATAAAGTTACCTCGCGCACTGCGTGGATGTTTCGTGGAGGTTTCGCATGACTAAACGCCGTGCAAAACATGTCGGGCGAAAGGCAATGAAAGCGTAATACATTTAGAGCATTTCTGAATATTGAAGCGAAATGAGTCGGCGTTCACCTGGGAAAAGGGAATCGCTGGAGTCTTTGACAAACCGTGAAATAGTTTAACTCGAAGTTGTCGTAACCTGAGTGCTTTAATAAAATGGGAAATTTCGCCGGTCTATTGAAACCGGTCGTTTGTGCAATAAAGCAAGTAGGACGCCAAGTGTTATTTTTGTTGAATGATAAAAGACTAATAAAAGAATAAATATCAAACCAGAAATTGTTCTCTTCAAAATGAAAATTATAAATGATTATGAAAGAATATTAAGTGTGTCAAGGATTTCCCTCCTGTAATGTTAGCTCTATACAAGAGACGAAGGGCGATTCTTTTTTAATTTCCATTTCGCTGACACCGCTTTAGCAGAAATCTCTCTTTAGTCGTTTTCGTCGACAAAACGAATAACAATATCACTCTCCGAGTCTTCCACCGTTTTGTTCTGCTTCAATTCGTGAGGGACGCGTGGCTCTGAGCGTGGGTCATCCACGCGCAACACATTCGTGCTATGTGATTGGCTGTTGTCTAATCCCCCTTGGGATCTGTGTGTCTTAAAAATAACTCGAGACGAATTACCTATGGAATAGGGTGTGTATGGGGGATGCCTTCTCTGTCCCCTTTATCCTCTCTTGATGATAGGTAACGGCGTCATTTCGTTGCTATGACAGCTCCGATGTCATTGGAACCCTGATCATGACAAATTTCCCTCTTTATCTAATACAACTGTGGTGGCAATTTTTTCCAAATTCTTGTTTGTGGCGACGTAGTTTATGCTCAAACTTGGCAGCTATTAACTCTGAAAAACTGTATCGATCCACTTTCATATGCCAGTACGGCCTTAAATGTTATGCATGGCGGTAGTTTCCTTTCGACTGTTTTGTAAAAATTTTGGCAACTTGCAAGAATTTTTTGGGCAAATGGATTACCGCCCCCCCTGGCACAAAATTGCCCGTACGCCTATGCGCTCGCCCGTTGTCGTAAACGTGAAGATATCTTTTGGATATGGGTATCGGATAGGAGCCCGCAGATGTGCAATGATCAAATATTCCTTAACTGTCAATATAAACTAGCAACTGGTTAATTTTTCTACATCAGTTGGAGCTGGAGAACTAAAAACTGTCTAGATTTATATTTACAGAACAGCTTTAGAAGGTAATCCGCTTATGACTAAGACCTACTGAAAGTGAAAGCGCGGTAATAAAGATTAAAGGTTTGAAATTGTGGCAAATACGTTAAGATTATACAACGTATGCCTCATGAAGTACCTTTGTTAAACGAACTAAGAATATAAAGAAGGTATACCACTTGAAATAAGTCGAAATGTTGACAATGATTTTGGTGAAAGCGAGTAGGCATAGATATAGCTCATGATCCAAGGTATCGAGTTTTTATTGTAACTCTTTTAAAGCAAGGTGAAAATACCATGCCTATTTATTAAGTTCTTTTTTCAAAGACGTTCTAAGAAAGATAACGATGCATTGCGTTTTGCAAGCGCAATCAGGAGATTACGTTTGGTTTTTTCTGGCTAACGTGACTCACCAAATAAGGCTGAGGTTTGTGAAAGAGATCTTTTCGTGCAGCAACTCTGTTCAAAATGCAACCTGTGATTTTTCTTTAGGCACCAAACTTATGTTGGGTAGAAGTTTCCCATTGCAACGTTGAGGGTTTTGCCGCATTTACTCAGTTTTCTTCGCTTTTGCCTTCGTATCGCTCGGCTGTTTTCACTCAAGAGAGGATACGATATACTGTTCTCTTAAGAAGAATTAACCATGTTAATAACGTTAGGCTGATAGGCAACTCTGAACATTTTAATTTTTTTGCAGTAGCTAACTATAAGTTTATTAGTTGCTTCTGTCGTTCAAAGGTTTTTGCTGGTGAGTTTCGATAACGGCAACGTCAGTTTGAACAATCAGTGACCACGTTTTTCCGTTAGTTTCTCGTTTACATTTTCTCATATCTACATAAAAATAGCCATAGGTACAGTTATTTTATATCAGGTAGATTCATAGGACTGATTTTGCACAAATCTGGCGTTTGCCGTTTGCTTTTGCAGTTGTTCAAAAGATGGATAACGCAATTGGTTTCCCTAACACTTATCCGTTGGATTGTGATTTATCGGATGGATAGCGCTATACAACTGGGGCCTGGTTAATATACAGTTTTGAGACAGCTCAAACCTTCCAGTGTTCCAAAACTGTCGGGAAAAGAGGTTTGTGTATTCTATTTCTGGAACACGTTCAATCGAACGCCCTCAAAATCCCTCCAATAACACACAACACTTCTTTAGTGTTCTGTTTAATACAATACACACTTTTGTACTTCATCATTGAATACAACTTATTTTATATAATATTCAAATCAAGTGTTTCCTTAAGTGACAGAAAGCATCAAACGTGTCTTGTCGTGCGCAAGTTATTAGAGACCTTAAGCAACGAGAACGTTGACGTCCCGGACGTCAAAAATGGCAACTAGAAGTTGGCATTTTTTCTTTTTCAGTGCTCTGAATCGAAAAATCCGTAAGAGTGGAGTTAAAACAAAGGCATCCCGATGCGTTGTGTGAGACAGAATCGTTCCATCAAGCAAGACATCGAACTTCCGGTTGCTATTCATGACGTCGGGGAGTTCAGCGTTAGCCGTTGCTTAAGCTTCCTATAAAATTAAATAATGACAAGCCCCTGACCTCCTCTCATTTCTCCTCATCAGTTTGTCAGTATTTCAGGCATTTGAGGGCATGGAAGTAGTACTGCATACTGTTTCGGTTTCGGCTACTTTTAGCTGCCTTGTTTTTGGAGATCTCTGGTCTCAGCCATTACTTATTAGTGAAACACCATGCTTACCCTCGCATTTGCAAAAGCCGACCCCTCTGTATAGTGCTCAAAGATAAATTTTTTGCGAAGACGTAGTGCTTGCTCAAGCAGAACTTCCCATTGGGATTCTAGGTTTTATTATGAATTAAATCTAGTACTGCTTGACAGAAAACATTGGCAACTGAAAACTGCTTTGCTATACCTGGCTATGATTGTCTCTCCATCGTGAGGCCGATGTGGTTTCACATATCTCAACAATGGCCCAGAAAAATTAGCGTTCAAACGATGAAGAGACAGTTTGGTCAGTAATATAAGTATACCCTTCCACAGGTCAACCTCTCACTATTTTTAAGACTATACAGACCCTTATAGACTGTACACAAGATAGTATCACCATCTCTCTCCGACAACTACAGTCTTTCAACTCGATGTAGGTGAGTCTGATAAATGATTGTAAGCCATGTTATTCAGGGGTTATTTCGTCTCGGTTAGTTAATAGAACTAAAATAATAACTTTGTGTATGGTGAGAAAAGGTATCGATGATTGTTCAATCTTTAAAGTAAGAGCAGCTGGTCCGTCAAAGTTCATGCGTGAAAAACAAATTTTGCTATAGTTTTCTCCCTAATCCATAACTAGTAATTGTCTACCCTTTCCCAAGGGTGTGGCGGTGTTAACCGAAGACATACATGTAGTCTAAACAGCCAACGGCATTACCTTCTCCCCTATATAGTTATTGCTTAGGTGGATTTCCACGTGCACTGCCCCGTGATTTTTACGTTTTTAACATTTAAGCGCGTAAATGAAATAGAGGCAATTTATGAAAGGTCGCGCGTAAACGTAAAAGTTAAGAGAGATTCAACTTTTACGTTTAAGGGAGTCTGTAAGAGTGACCTTTCCTACATGGCCTCTATTTTATTTACGCGCGTAGAATTTACGGGCGTTCGCACGTAAAAATTGCGCGACACTGGAAATCCACCTTAAGGAAGAAATTAGTTACTGCGGATATTTAGAAATCAACCATGTTCTAAATCTGAACAACGCGAAAAGGAACAGATGCACTGCGCTTTGCAAGATGATCAGGATAAGAAACACAGCGAGGATAGCGGTTCCTGGCTGTTCCTGATAATTAAGCATTCTGTAAATGTAGCGATTGCCATCTTTATCTCTTCCCCCTGCACCCCAGTAAATCACGGTAAAAAGCATATAGATGGATGCGAAAACATGAGAATAAATAAAATGCAAAAGGCGAACTGGGATATTGCTGATTGTTATTTCAATCAACATGAAGACCGCTGCCAGGATGTGCTCATTTACACTCACGCCGTCGATCTCCTCACCAGGAGTGTACACTGCTGACCAGTAAGCGATGGTCATCACCAGGCTGTTGACACTTGCTATGGTGAAGATTACCCAAGATACCTTGGTCCAAAGTGACAAATCGTCGTGTTCATCTTTGGCTTTAACGTACGACTGTTCCTTGGATTCGTTGCCTTCGTCTTCAGAAGACAGTCCTACGATGTAAGTTTCGGACTTGAAGCGGCGAGGTCCGTAGCCCGCCGGATCGTCTTCGACCCCCGCACCGCAGCAATAGTGTGTGGTGATGAACATTGCCAGCAGGAAATGAGCGGTTACGATAGTGAAGACCCAGTTGCTGAGGTAAATGAACCAATAGCCGCCGTCATTGAAGCCACTGTAGATTAGCCATGACAGGAAATAAAAAGCGGCGACCAATCGGTAAAAGAGAAACAGAGGAAGTGGCAGCCACTGAAAGAAAAAAAAAGTACAACATAAATCTACACATCCTAGGTATGTTGAGGTTCGTTGCTGCGCTGGGCTAAAAATGATGGAAGTCACTGATGATGGTGATGGTGATGATGATGATGATGATAATGATTTTGATTGCGATAGTAACTACTTTGAAGAAGATGATGATGATGATGACGACGAAGAGGGTAGCCATAGTACTTGACAGCACTGATGATGATGGTAATGGTTTTTAGTAAGCAAAGCACTCCCCCCTCCAAAACAAATCAAATTTGTTTTGTAAAATCCTAAATGACAAATAGTAATATGCAAAAGTTCCACCAAAAAGGTTTCATTTGAATGGTATAACACTATAGGATTTCATCCACAGATTCAAAAGTTAGAAAAACATACTATATAAATAGGACCACGTGAAAGTATCGCTAAAGAGGTTTCATTTGAATGGTAACACCATAGGATTTCATCCCGACAGACTCAAAAATTAGAACTACTTACTAAATAAAGAGTACCATGTGAAAGTACCGCTGAAGAGGTTTCATTTGAATGGTCATATCATAGGGTTTCATCCACAGACTCAAAAGCTAGAACTACGTACTAAATAAATAGTACCATGTGAAAGTATTGCTAAAGAGGTTTCATTTGAATGGTAACACCATAGGATTTCACCCACAGACTCTAAAGTCAGAACTACATACTAAATCAATAGTACCATGCATGCTGAAGGGGTTTCATTTGAATGGTAGCACAAAAGGATTTCATCCACAGACTTGAACGTTTGAACAACATACTAAGTAAATAGCACAATGCAAAAGTTCTGCCAAAGTGGTTTCTTTTGAATGGTAACACCGCATAGGATTTCGTCTACAAACTTAAAACTTTGAGTGACAAACAATCTTGCCATAATATTGTGTAGGATCGAAGGAGTTAAGAAGAGCCAGTATTTAATCCTTTCAATCTTTAAGCCAAACGTAAAACTTAGTATAGCGGTGAAAGTGGTAAAGATAAGGAACTAATAAAAATATTTTGGATTTTGGAAAAGTCAAAATCATAGGCCGCGAGCGGTCGTTTTTCTTTCCTCATAGCCCGGTGCCAGCGAGCGAAAAGTAAAATTACTCTCGGTCTACCGTGACTGTGAATAAACGAGCACTCGCAATCTATCAAAATGGCGGTTTCCCAGTAATAGCATCCTTAAATTTTAGCAATATTTACTGGAAATCCACTCTAGACTGCTACTACTGCAAGGGTTTTTATGCTCAGCAAAACTAAAAGAAAATATATGTACGTTAAAACGTTTGTAAAATTAAACTAAATATTTTTCAAATATTTGAAAAACGTCGAACCAGTATCAAACATCAATGTTTAATTGTTTAATTCTATTTGTTTTATATGTGCGTTAAACTCACTAAGACTGAGCGTTATTTATTCTAACCATAAGGTTTTAAGTTTCATTCATCTCATTCAGCAAAATCTATATCATTCGCCGCTCCCCTATTACCCAAAGTACACCTTGGGGGGATTCATTTGTAGCATGGTAAAAACTGTCACATTCCCCGATGCCCCCCCCCCCGCCCCGCCTCGCACCAAAAAAGTTTTTAAATGAATTACTGTGTAATAAGACGACATGGCTCTATTTTACAACCGACATAAATGCAAATGAAAAATGCTCGATTTCTTTCTGTCCTTTCATTCTCAGTTTAATACTGTTGAGAAAAGGTATTTCATATGTAATGTTCTGTCCGGCACACAGTTTAACAAAAATGTAACTTTTTATTTGCTTGTTTAATAATCAAATCGGAATAAATTGATTGTACATGAATCTTTTTTTTGACATTTTACTTTCCCCCTATACGAATCGGTAAATATCGAAACCGTCAATGCTTGCGCTGATGTACATAAAATTACGTGCACGAACATTTGTTTTTGCTTCTTACTGAGATCATATATCTTTCCCTGCCACAGAGCAATAAGAGAACATGGGCCAATGTAATTTCTATACGAAAAACCGTTTGACAAGTGCTTTTAATGCTTGCGCATAAGACGCTTAAACAGATGCAAATTTTAGTTGCTTTAGTATCGTTTGAAAAGTCAAAGATAATTTATATATTCCTGGCATAATAAGAGGTAAGAATCGGAAAAGACTGACATGTTTTCAAAAACTGTACAGCTCTGCACACATCGCCGATTGATGTAGTTAAACAGATGCAAATTCTGTTTGTTTGTTTATCTTTAAGTATAAAATGCTTCTGACTTATTACTAATTCTATATGATATTACCTTTTTTCTTCGTACTGATTAAAGTTAATTTCAATTCTCTCAAGGGCTACGAACACTAAATGTTGGACATTAAATTCAACTCGATTTATTGTCGATTTTGCAGACCAAAGCGCGACGAACGCGCGTGACAGCACGCCATTCGCATAATTATAAGCATTGCTCTCGAGGTTTTGGCGGGCGCCACAGGTGGGAGGTGTTTATAAAGGCAATGTGCCCGATGGATTATTAGCGAACTAGTTCAAACTAATAAGGAAACTTAAGTCATTAGCACAGCTAAGGGGAGACGAGTTATTTGTGTCTAGTCCTTTCAAAACTATGTGTTGCTTAGCGTTTATTATCATATTTCCAATATGAGTTTGAATAATGCTGGGTGTTTTGTGACTCTAAGTATTAATCTGTTCAGATATCGAAAAAGCGGTTCATGCCACAAAATGAAGAATCTATGAGGATGGAAGAATGACTATTGAAATAGCAAGTCCTTCTACGATTCTTGGCGTCCACGTAGTAGTAACTGAAAATATCCCTCAAGCAATTCCCAATGCAAATCATGTCCAGTGTTTCTCAAAGAACTACATTCATGTAACTTATTCTAAACCACTGTTCAACTCACCGGCGAAGTTGTAAACGCACTGGAGTAAGGATGTGACAGTCTGAGACGTTTAAAGGAGAATTCTTCCGGGCAGAGACACATTTCACTCCTGAAAAGATCCAAGATGTTTCTCACATCTCCACCTTTACAAAACCAAGTGACGCATGAAATGAACACTGGTTTCTTCCAAAATGTGCAAATTTGCTGCCCTCATCCGCATTGATGCATAGCAAAAATATCCCTAAGGGAAACGTGTTTGCTTGACCAATTGAATCTCAATCATCTCTCAGTCCTATATAGGCAACAGCCACATGAAATACAACTCCGCAACTCTGAGCTATACTGTGAATTCAACAGTGATTAAAACTAGGAGTACGTAAGGTAACTTAAACATTCGTAAGGCTTTAACATGACTGAGTGCCCATAAACACACTTTACCTAATTATCAAATCGATTATGCTAAATCATCCTGGGTGGAAGTTGTGATCTCTTCAGTGAACTATTTCTAAAACTTTAAGGCGTTAAGAACAGAAATAAATTTGGCGTCAGAACGACAATGGCGTATTGAGACTCGTTTATTTCTTTATTATTGCGACGTTTGAATGCACACTGGGCGACAGTCCCGGCGACAGTTTGCTTGTACTCTACTCATGTCTTTAAGATCGGGATTTCACGGTAGATCGCCTTTTTCACAAGGCATCGCCCTAAAAACACCAGGAAAACATAAAGCGATAATATACATGTACAACTCAGGGAGCCTTTACGAAATACCGTAGTTATGATCATAATATCTTTCTTAATACTTTTTGTAAAGCGTGTAACAATAGTTCTAAAGCATCATTAGCATCACGCGTAAGGAATTCGAGTATAGACGGAAACACAGATCTTAGGGCCGGAGAAACTACAAATAACAGATATTTCGCTGCCTTTCCTCGGCGGGTGAAACAAAAGCCGAGAAAGGTAGACTACCATCAGACTGATCGCTGAAGGGGGTTGGTTTCCTGGGAAACAGTAGTTCTGCGTCGATAGGGGAGTGGAAACAAATTCTCAATTTTGTAAATGCTGAAAAACAAATAATACCATATGAGAGTACTGTCATTAAGATTCTATAATGGTCCAACAGACTTTTGTCCACAGACTTAAAAAGTTAGAATCACTTTACAAAACCCATGATGATTCACTCTGGCCGTGAAAGAGAGCTGACTTTTAGATTGCGAGTCCTTCATCAAAGTTAATCATCATTTTACGCGGCAATGTTCCGTGGTCAGTGAAAAAAGATTTATTCTGAACCTCGCAAACCGCATCAATAATCCATATTTTGCTGAAATAGCTCATTATTTCCGACTTACAAGCCCCTGTCAGGCTTTTTATTCAGTCTTAAGTCTACTCAAAGGAATTAAGGGAAATTTTAAAAGGATTGACACCGATGACACATTACAATAGTAAATATTCTTGATCGCATGACTCGCCACTTCACCACTTTTTCGAAAGCAGCCGAGTGTTACCACGGTTTACAATTCTGAAATTAAGCTGGGACGTGTGTTGAGAATGTTCCAATTTATTCTTCCAATCCATCCCGGATACCTGGATACCTGTTTAAGGGTCTTAGCCGTTTTTTGCTAAAAAAGGCTAAGGCCCGTTTCAAACGTCGTGCTACTGCCGTGCCGAACTAAATGCGGATCGAATTAAATTCGACTTTAGCAGGGTAGTAGCACGACGTTTGAAACCAAGTCGTGCTATTGCCGTGTAGCACGTCGCGCTACTGCCGTGCCGAACTCAATTCATAAATTTATTTATTAAATACATTAGAATACCTTTAAAAGTTTGCTAAACCGTTTCTTTATTTTTGTGTTTTGTTTTCGGCAACAACCGTTCTATTCGACTGAATTAAATTCGAGGTCTGAAACCAAGTCTTGCTAATGTCTTGCTGCAGTCGACAGTCGAGCCAGCCTAGCACGGCAGTAACACGACGTTTGGAACAGCTAGGTGTGCAAGTGGTGATGTGAGTCCCATACGGAGTTTACCAGTCCTGAATTTCGCTTACCGTTACCTTAACCATGTGCACCGACCGCTCTCCCCTTGTAAATGGTAATTAACTATACATTTGGCTATAATATTTCATCTATAAGCCTTCGTGGCTTACAGAGCCTTCCTTGGCCGTTTTTCTTCTTTTTAAGTCATGTTTTTCTTATTATTTCTATTATTCATGTAATAGATATCCTATACATGTACAGGCTAATAAACAAAAAAACAAAGAAAACAAACGAACAAACAAAAAAACATGCCTGGCTTTTAAGTTTATAAACGTCCTGATATGGACAGTTGTTGTTGTTCCTTTATCCCTAGCCCTGATCCCAGGCAACCACCCACCCACCCACCCGCTTAACCTAATCTGTTTCATCACCAATCTCCTGTGGAGTTCCAGACGTATAAAGACAAATTAAATCATTCAATATCTCAATTGTTAATTTCTCAATGGTTTTCGTGTAGAGAAAAGTTAAAATGACGTTAATTTTCGTTCATGGAGGGACTTGGATGAGGAGAATTTAAGTGTTCAGGGTCGATTGGCGTGTTATTGATAAAGAGCTGAAGATCATAGCCGTGAAATAATTCCGTTCCGAACCCGTTTCACGTTGAGCGGAATCCAAGAACTAATCAATCGCTTGATAAACCGCAAGTGACGCAAGTCTAAAGGTGATCCTAACGACTGAAAATCCTTTACCGTTTTGGGATTTTCTTTTGGAACAAATAATTTCCTTAGCTGTCTGAAAAATCAGTCTTGATGGGAAGTAAAATGTCTCAAAAGGAACGTGTTGACACCAATCATTTAGGGTCAAAATATAAAACAGTTGATCCATCCCCGGTAGAAAAAGAGTCTAGAAAGGCTTAAACTCTTGTTTGCCAGCCGTATGTATTTAATTACTTTAGTTTATATAACAATAAAGATATGTTGTCCCAACCATCCCTTATCTGTGGGGAGAAACTACAAGTTAATCATTATCACATTAACTCGGGGATAACGCTTTTAAACGTCCGCCGAACCGGAACTTGTCTTTATAGAATGTCAGATTTCTCCTTCGCTATCGATCGCCATTTGAGAAGAGATTGACATCTCACTAAGTGTAAACATCGTTTTTGACTGGAACTTAAACCACTGAAGAATTCAGATTTTTAGAGTGTTACCCTTCTTGTTGTTATATTGCATTTTCCCACGCGCGCGGGGCCAAGAACCAGTGACAGCCATTTGCGATATAAGTCTCGCCGCAGTGGAATGAGGTTTTGCCAATGTTCTCTTCCCCTCGTGGTTTTGGGATCCGTCCTTCTGTTGGCTACGAAGTCAGGTAAGCAGTATTAAGTGTGATTCGCAAAATTTACCCAGAGATTTTGAATTATCGGTATTAAGCAAGCCGTTTTGGGCACTGTTTGATCGCCGAAACATTCTCCTCCTTTCATTGAAAGTTTGCAATGTCTGCAGTTTCTGTCTCACGGTAGCTTTCAAGGTATCGTTGTGTTCGCGAATGCTTCGACATAGCTGCATGGTTCAAAAGAACATTTACTGCCAAATGTCGTTTACTCTGTTTGGATTTTAACTCATTTGAAAACAGTACTTCATTGTCCCATTAGCCAGTTTACGTGGTCATAATAAAGACATACCTAGAATTACTGTTTGATAAAAGCATTTATTTTTCCAGCTTTAGCGTGCCATATTTTCAATCCCTGCTACAAGATTGTCCTTTGACCTCTTGTCTACGACATAACGCAAGTTCTGTACATCACCTTCACGTTTACATGTGGAATCCTTGACAATCCTCTCCGAAATTTTGTGTCTTGGTTCCATATCAACGTCCCCCTTGGGCGCGATATCATTCATTATGTTGCTACGTCTTGTAAAAGCTGCTCCGTGTAAACTCCCCAATCCGAAAATACGCATATCGCGCCTTTATCATAAACTGTGCTGGCAGAAGCATTACAGACGTCGAACCTCGCCTCGATTTTATCATTCTTTAACGTGTTTACCATTCCTGAGATCACTGATTTGCTGTTTCACATCACCAATACTTACAACCAAGTGTTACAGCAATTCATCTGAAGTATATATTTATGAATAATCATCTGGTACTGATCGCGTCCGCCAAAGTTAGTTTTATTTTGATTTTTATCTATTTCTCACAATTATCGGCAAAAATCAGTACCTATTATGACATAAACTGCGCTGTTATTTATGACCTAGCATGTGCGTTGTTTATAACCCAGTCTGTTTATAACCATTGCATAGCATATAGTGCTTTTGTAGGTCCTGTCACACAACTGGTGAGGAAAAAATTATAAAAATTACTGGTAGGACCGAATGCAACATCTTTCGTTTTTAAACTCACTGACGCTTTGGCCAGTGAATAAAGGGCCTTTCCATCTCGAACATTTAAATGAGCATTTCGTTTATATTTGCGGTTTGCATACTACTGATATTTAATAGCGGAAACGGCACCCACTAGACCGCCCTGTTTCACGACGAAAAAAGGGTGGTCGCGAGTTATCGCATTAACATTGTTGCATACAAAGGCGAGTGAAGCAGTTTTAATACCATCTTCGATAGATCTTTGATGCTTTGGATGATATAAAATAGTATTTCGTTTTGCATTGTGTGGCCCAAAGATGAAAGGACCGCCGGTATGAGAGGAAAAAAATTTCATCGATGCACTTTTCGATGCGGTGTGAATTTTTTCTTACAAACGCTGTACTGTATAGGCTAATGATGAGCTTCAGGGTCAAATTTGATGTTTGTTTACACTGACCGGATGAACAGACAACTTTGGAACTTTGTGGAAATCTGTTCGAGAGCCTACTAAAAAGTTTACATCAGTGGTTTTTTCCAACGACGGCGCGCCTCTGGAATACAAATTAAAATCTGTCAAAATTAGTGCAAATTAAACTGAAACGACTGACAAGTGTTTTTATTATCATGGAAGTTTCAAGCATTCATCACGCAGTCTAGCATGCTTTCGACCGAGTGACCAATGTGTTTTTGATAAAGAGCTGTGTGCTATGTGATAGACGTCTCTAGCAACTGTGAAGTTCGGTTGGACCTTTATTTCATGCTGGGTATTCTTGTTTTTCATGTTGAAAAATAATACTTTAAATTTCGACATGTGTATTTCGTTCAGTTATATCTGAAGTCCCCAGTTTAGGCCGCTCTGTAAGGAGCAAAAAAATGAAGACACAGTATCTCGGTAGAAGATCAGTGCACCCCGAGTGGGTGTACCAACCGCGTAGATTAGAATGGTCCATCAGTAAAGATGAAAAAGGTTGAGGATACATCAAGTTTTAATATGTTGGAACGTCATGAATGAGCTTCATTTCGATTGTGTCTACAGGTCCCAAATAAATGCTCGTAGTTGATAAATGTTCGTTTTATAAACGTATCTGTCGGGGGAGTTTCGAGTGTTCGTGAAAGCGATTTAAACGAAGGCAGGTAGTCAAATGGTCCTTTGGACGGCTCACTTTGGCAGGAAAAGCGGCGATGCTAAGCAGACACTTGCCAAAGAAAGCAGATTTTTCTTTTCGTGGGAAGGGCTAACTACACGTCAGGCTGGTTTGTGCACATTTCCCGGGCAAAAAGGAGAAATGAAAAGGAGATCAATTGGAAAAGTAACGAAGGTTATCTCAGATTTTGTCAGTTAAACCTCTTAGTAAATTATAATAATCGTCGTGTTTTGGCTGGCCACTTGACTATCAAAACAACTCTACTGAAAAGGTTGAGTGCCCTATAGTTTGTTCCAGTGGGGTTTAAGATACAAACAAAGAGGAAGTGGTGTAGAAAAACAACATCTTAGGTTGCGTTCGCCATTAGATTGAGACTCGAGAACTCGTTTCGGAAATAAAAAACAGTCATATAAGGAGCACTGCACAATAATTTTAACTCCTACCATTATAAGACTTGTTTAGCGTGAGATTCCGTCTCTTCCTATGTATTCTCAATCAATACGTATTATTGATCTCTTTAGGACACAAATTAATGCGTAATTTTACGAAAACTTTGGAGTTACATCCATTTTTAGATAAATTTCGGTTGGGAAGTTTATCATATCTTCACGGTATTATAAGGTAGATATTAGAGTCGCGCGTCTTGACAAATGCAATCCTGTGACGCAGGACAACGTTTCTAGTCATACTAGTTTTAAGATGTCATAGGAAGAAAAGATAAAGGGAAGGACGCTTGTTTGTATTTTTTTTTGTGGTTGCATAAAAATGCTGCCCTATTGAAAGCGAAACTTGATTGCCCGTGTGTCTTGAGCATAATTGCCCGATGAAAGAGTCAATGTATTGTAACCGCTTTTCATTAGGTACTCAATGCCGTCTCGTCATGCAATGCATATTATTGACCACGCACTGACAGACCAAAAAAGATTGGTGTATGTAACTGTAGTCCAATGTCCATTTTGGCTTTTGAGCTCCCTACACAGTAGTAAGCGAAAAATGTTGAAATTGGCAGAACACAATGAACCTGATGATTTTAGCGTCAGGTTACTTGTTGTCTCAACAAGCATACGATTGATAAAGAGTTTGGTCCTAAACGTGAGAAAATACAGAATGGCAGGTATCTGTCTGTAGTATTATGTCAGTAAATGTGTCAGATAGTGCCCGAGTGTAGAGGTCTTAATTCTGTCTACTATGTTGGGAGGGATAAAGGAGATACCGGTAGACATCTGCACGTTGGTTAAGTCTACTGCGACACCGCAATCGTCTTGGTTTTACATGCTTTTTAAGCTGGCTGATACTTAAGCAATGTCAACTGGCTTCACACAGTTAACTGAGTTAAGGTACCAAAACATTCAGGGAGTGCCTTGGAGTTAGGGGAGGGAAGATATCGCATTTTAAGCGCCAAACATATCCTTTGAAGTAAATGTTTTTACGTTAATCACATGGCACGATTTCACTATTACAGAACAGATTGCGTTTTTCGTATGTTATTTTTTGTCTTCTTTTCGTCATTCCTCGCTAACCATATGGTAACTGAGAAGTGATGCGATCAACATCCCCGGGAAGGTGGGGGGGATACTCCCTTATAAGAGCTTAATGTGGACGTGCTGCCAGCCAGGGTATGTTTTTCGGGATTTTTGTCTTCAACAGGGTATCGATTTTATTAATTTTTGTCTTAAACAGGGTAGACTCAGTTGATCAAGCTGTAAATAGTTTTGTGATTGCCAATGGATTAAATAAGAAAGAGTTTCGATATTTATTTTTGTCTTACACAGGGTATGGTTTCGGGTTAAATTTCTTAAATAGGGTATCAAAAATCGGAATTCTGTCTTAAACAGGGTGAGAAAATCAGCGATTTTTGTCTTAAACAGGGTCAGAGTATATGGGATCGGGCCGCACCTCGCCACCCAAGGATATATCGAGTACCCCTCCCACCCGGGTCAACATGTCACGAGCACGAGACAAAGAAAAAGTCTGAGTCCCGACAGGAATTGAACTTATGACCTTCCGTATACCGGTCGGATGCTATAACCACTGAGATACGAAGGCATTGTGGACGCATGTCATACACGAACCTTGTATGTGGTCCAGCTCGCCACAAGTTCTTCGTAGCTCAGTGGTTAGAGAATCCGACCGATGTACGCAAGGTCATAGGTTCAATTCCTGTCAGGGACTCAGAGTTTTTCTTTGTCTCGTGCTCGTTGCATGTTGAACTCATCACTTCTCATTTCTTCACCGAGCTTCAAATTCACCATATTTCTTTATTTATCACATGGTAACTGTTCATGATTACGAAAACTGATCACTTTGTATTCTTTATTGCATGTAAAGGACCGTAGATGATCAGTTTGTCTCTCTTTTTGTCAGACTCATTGCTTCTGTGGTTGTCTCTTTCCAGGGAAGGCAACAGTGCAAAGAAAAGCCAGACAAACGTTTGACGATTTTGAAGAGGAATACGACATTCCAGGTAGTTGTGTTCTTAGATGCAAGTGTTGTAAGAGTGCCACGGAAAGACGTTTGCAACTAACAGAATTGTTTTGATAGACTTGCTACAAGTCGACCTCACGAGTTTCTAAGCGAGTACAGGAGGAAGTACATCTGGGAAGCGGCCGAGCGAGCGACGCGCCATATTAAATCAGACAAAGGAATTTATTGAAAGTCTGTCATTTTGATTAGGAATATTGTTGCTGCAGAAAAGGGTCATACCAACACATCCAACACATCCTCTATTTGAATTAAAACCAAGAAAAAATAATTTGGTACTCGTTTCCAAGTAGCACCATACCACAAAAAGCTATCAAACTATTGGATATTACTCCCTCTGGTGTAAAGAAACAGAGATAACGTTTTATTAAAAACCGTTACTGTCTAAGCATCAATTACAAGTTACTTCAAGTTACTTCAACTGTGCTTGAAATCCATCCCTATGGAAGTGGCATCAGTAACCTGATCAAAATTTACTCTAACACTGATTTCGGTAGATTACCTAGTCAATAAATAACTTTATCATTCGGTGCAAATCTTTCTTCCTTTTCATTGGACAAGAGCTCACCACGTGACCTGCAAATAACTGCCTACAAGTAATGGTCTAGTCATTCACAATGTCGTCCAACTGTGTTTGGCTGCAAGAAACATTCTGCTCCTGCGTGAAATGCTTGAAATGAAACCACGCTTTTCTCCTTCTTGTGATCATTCTTGCGTGAAAATGGCATGTCTTTTCGCAAATAATTAAAAAAGACTCGGTCATCGAATGATAAAACAATATTGAACTCGGTTATCGCAAAATATCGTGATTTGTCAGTGTCTCGTAGATTAATTAGTTGCCTCAGCCAAATTGATCTGCTCACCACTGACAAATCACGACATTTTGCTCAACTCGTCCAATAATTGTTAAATCTTTGTGATATTTTAGGATCCTGTCCACAAGGTTGGATAGGACATGAAGGATCCTGCTATTCACCTTTTGTTCACGGCGCCACTTGGCAAGAGGCCGAGGACACCTGCAGAGAATTCGACGCTCACTTAGCTCTCTCCAGAAGCGAGTCCGAAAATGAATTTATCGCTGTGGAAGTAGGTAGGCCAGAGTTTCGAGTATGGATTGGACTACGACGGAAAGAGGGAGAATTTGTCTGGAGCGACGGTCAGAAAGCAGAATACACTAATTGGGGGAACGGCGAGCCCAAGGGTTCTTCTAGCGGAGACTGTGTAAGTCTTCTCCCGGAAGACATATTCTCTTCATGGGAAGTGACGAAATGTGACAGTATGCAAGCATTTATCTGTGAGAGAGGTAAGTAGTTTAATGTACCTTTGCTGCAGTCAAACCGGTACGTTTTACTTGGTCGTAGTGGATCTTTATTTCACCTACCCCTCCCCTAAGCCAACATTAACACTTAGTTCTCACTTAGGGCAAAATGGTGGCTCAGGGGAGGGGTAGGAGGGCAGTTTTCCAGACACGTATAATGATCCGGACGCCCATGTCCTCTGATTCGCTTCAAGTAAGGCAATCCAGATTCCGGAATCTAGGAAAATTAAGCTTGTAGAATCCGGAATCCTGAGCCTTAGAATCCAGGAATTCAGTTCAAGGAATCCGGAATCCCAGAAATGATTGGAATCCGCACTTTAAAGGAGCCGTGTCACGAAATTCAGTCAAATCAGGCTATTGTAAAATGCCCGTTAAATTGAAAGAAACATCAAAATAACCGCGTAAAACATTAAAGGAAGGTTAAAATAACACAACAGATACAAAAGCTGCGACGGATGGGCAAAACTGAAGAAGATTGAAACGGATTGAAATTAGGGTTTTTGAAAACTGTTCAGCCTAACAGTTCTTCAAAGTTTTTCTCTGCTGTTTGCAGCTTCAAAAATAATGCTTAGGGGACATATTTGTCTCTAATCTCTGATTTTGTCAATTACATGTAATTTCTTTGCCTACTTTAAGTTCCATAGCGATTGAGGGCGAGTAATTGGAAAATAAAACAAAATGAACTGGACTGCAGTGACAGAGCTCCTTTAAGTTCCACTGACAAAGAATCCGGAATCCAGTACCAGGAATGCGAAATCGTGGCTTTTTGGATTCCGGAATGCAGCTTAAGGAATCCGGAATCCAAGTTCCACTGACAAAAAAATCCGGAATAGTATCTGAAATACGGAATCCTCAAAGTGGAGTCCAGAATCCAAGGCCGGCTTTGATTATCTTACACGGGGCGACCTGATGTGGTATTATCCAAAGGAGCTTGTCCTTGCTATATTTTGGCTCAAATTATCTGGAAATATTTATGCTTATTGTGTCTTCGATCGTCAATAGTCAAACTAGGCTGCTAGCCGTTCCTTTTCAAACGGTCGAACCTGGCTACATTCGCTCTTTTTCTGGACTCTGTCAATTGTCGTTTGCATGTTTGGCTTCAGTGTTAGCTTGATTTCTTGCGCATGGATAATTAGTGCCGATTGCTTTCCGCCTTAACGGGAAATTCTGCCGCTGGATTGATTTACCCTATCATACTCTCTCGATCTAGCAAGTATTTGCTATTCAGGAGGCATGCGCGCCAGACTCGTAATGTGGCGGTCCTGGGTTCAAGTCCCCCGCTACGATTTGCTTCTCGATCGCCACGGTTTCAAATCCTCGGCCACTGTTATGATAAACAACTGTCTCCTGTAAGCTAGGATTTTTTTTATCGAACTTTTTTTTTTTTCATTTGTCTATATTTATCTGAGTGGAGTGCGTGTAAACTAGCCGGAAAGCTAACTGCACTTTCACTATGAACAAACCTTAATTTACTTTTTCTAACCTTGTCTTATCGACAATCTCTTGGCCATCCAAAGAGGTCGGGCTGTGTGTTTGTTAGCCTGCATCCGACTTTCGCTTGATCGATCGATTGCCGAACGCTGAATGATTGAGAAAGGAACTGTGCCTGTATTGTCCCAAGTTTCTTATTTTGTGAGAGCCGGTCAACAGTAATCCGTTATATGCGCGTTAAAATACAGATTTACGTCTACTCGTCCACTTTCTTCTTCTGCTGTCTTTTACCTTAATTCTTACCTAAGTTCTAATTGCTTTGGTTTGCTCAGTTATACGTTTTTCGTGGTCATCCTTGTTGGTTGTTAATGCCTTTCTAAGGGGACCTCCTATTAGGAATTCTGCTCCGTTAGAAAGTTTTTTAGATCAGTATTGATACACCAATTTTCTGTGAATTTAAGTTTAAACATATACATGACACAGCCACTGGTATAATGCAAGGGTAAGACTAGTTACTGTTCTTCTCCCTTGAAATCATCGCTTCTATGTATACAACGATAAAATTGCTTTCGAATAGAAAATGTAACAGGTTCGGATGACAAAGGAGGACTGATTGTAACTACAACAGAAGAGCCGCCAACGAATGTCGGTGCCAGAGTAGAAGATAAGTGCTCGACTGGATTGCATGACTGTTCCCCCAATGGAACGTGTATACCTCTTGACGGCTCTTACGACTGCGTGTGCAATCTTGGTTATGAAGGCGATGGCAGGGTTTGTGCAGGTGTGTCATAAAATCTTCGTTCATCAAATAAAATCTCTTCATAAAGTGAGAAAGTTTGAAAGCGTTTGCCATGTAATATAGTACAGTGGGAAAATTTTATGTTGAAAGCATCTTTACATATGAGCGTTGTAATGTTAGTCTCAACTTGTCCTTTCAAATACATAAAATGCTTTCATTGGTACATCAAGTGTTGTTTTATCTACAAAGTACAAGTTTATTTCATGTTATTTAATTATTTGTTCAGGTTAGTTTGCAAGTTCATGCGGAGAATATATGCAGTAATTCTTCAGTAATGAAACCATAACATTTAGATGCGTTTAAATGTAAATGTTGTGGTTCAATTTTATCCTTGGTTTGAATTTCATTTTCCCTTGTTTAAAAATCATTATCATATCATACATTACCAAGCCCAAAAACAAAAGAAAATAAAATTTAAACCAAGGATAAAACTGAATCAAAACATAAACATCCCAGGTCACTCTTTCCGCCAGCAATCCTGACCAGAAATTTCTTTTGTATGACTTGAAAAGCGTTAACAACAATAAAACTCATCAAAAGGGTGTCGTTCTTCCTCCTTTTTTGTAGATATAAATGAATGTGACAATGGTTTTAACGATTGTTACTTTACTGCGTCCTGTACCAACGTACCTGGGAGTTACTTCTGTAAATGCATTGAAGGATATGTTGGTGATGGGAAACACTGTGAAGGTAAGGCTTCAATAGATTGTAGAATTGAACATTGTCTTGGCCATCTTTGATACCAAACATGTCTAAAGTCGAGAGTCAGACACTTGAAGCTGCATTCTAGTCTTAATATTTACCCCTTTAAAAAACACTTTTAGCTGGACTCCATCGTATAGTAAGTGAAGTGGCCGTCAAGTGACCAATTTTAAACAGTTAGTGTTCCATATTTACAATATTTCAAGTATTTTTGTTTAGGTTAGTTTTGCAATGCCAGGTAACTCTTAATGATGTCGTATTACTTTTACTAGTATCGTTTTTTTCTTAGTGGCCAACATCAGTTTTCTCCTAACAATACCAATAGACAATCAAGGTGAAAGGTTATGAGAGTTAATAAAATGATCACAGAAGAGAAAATGCTTTGATCTTTTATCAAATTCTCTCAACTCATTCTTTAAGGAAATATATAGAGATCTGTTTGGAGAATTTGTTTGTGGATATTCGGGCTTAAGGGATAATGCTAATCTGGCTCAGGAGCTTCCCTTTACTTCTTTGTATTCTCTATGCTTCTATAACCAAGACACCCTCTGTGATTATTTCTGTAGAAGGGAGGATTGTAACATCACCTTCAGAGAGACCCAAAACAACTTTACCGACTCCTGCAGCAGCTATAGCCACTCCTCCGATTCCTCCGACCCCACCAATTCCTCCAATTCCTTCGACCAAGCCAACAAAAACAGAGGGTGAGACAATTGAGACGTAGGGCAGTTGAGACGTAGCTACTAATCCTGCAAAATCAGTGTCTAATTGACTCGAAACTAATGCCACCATACAGGAAAAGCAATGCAATTGTTATCAAAGCCTGAGGGAGATGGCATTACATGTGTCACTAAGCATTCTAAGAGAAAAACTGGCAAGGATTTTTCAGCGCCGATCATGGCAGCAAGATCACATTTTAGCACATTTTAATATCTTATATATTTTACTTTAAGTATCTCTCCGCTGGCACATGAAAATTATTATTATTATTATTATTATTATTATTCTCATCATCATCATCTGCTAAGAGTTATCATTACGAGTTTGTTTATTTGGTGTCCTTTTGAACAAGTCACATCCTAGCGTGAGGCAAGTCATCTGTTTATTACAACCCTCCGATAACCACAACCACCAAGTAAAAGAATTAAAATGCTGATAGTTCCGGGAAGTACTCAACAAAATTTTTTACAGGGAGGCTCCGCCCCGAGGTCCATCCTTCTCGTTTTTCACAGATAGCCCTTTCGTATACGTTTTATGGACAAATGGTACCCCTTTCACACACTAGGTTAGAACGCTGCATTCCCTTTAACTGCTGTAAATGAAAATGAATCTCACTAAACCAGAACGTTTCCTTCTCACATCCATTTTACCCTTTTAGGCCCTCCCACAAACCTCAATGACAGATTTCCCTACCCTTTCTTATACTTCAATTAATGAAATCCCTACCCTTTTCATATACCTGAAGCCTGAAAAAGGTACCCCTTTCAGGCGGAGCCTCCCCTTATAGGCCATTAGGGAGTACCCCCCCGGGGGGAGGGGTTGTTTATAGTTAGCTGACTTCAAGTAAAGGGCGCCTGTGATGTGTTATTAAGACTACTGAAGTTTACCAAGCGTACGACACTCTTGTAGGCCCAAAAGGATAAGTTGTAAGTAAACTTTCAACAGTGAGAATTTTTTCAAGTATAGACATTCCAACTGTTAGCGCCCATTATTATACAAAATACTTTTTCATGACTTTGACCATTCACTAATGACTACTTATCTATCAATTTTGTTCTCTTAAGACATAAACGAGTGCGCCAGTGAAACTCCAGTTTGCGACATGAACGCTACATGTGTCAACTCTAATGGTTCATATTCGTGCTCCTGTAACAATGGATACATTGGAGATGGCCAGTCATGCCGAGGTATAATACCACAGTGCCACAAGAGAATGGTGCAGCGTTTGTACTCCATGATCACGAAACGAAAACTTTCTGTGGACTAAGAAATGTCTTTTACCTTACATAAGTGTCATTTGTCATTACTTGACCCTCCCCATATATATTATCACTCTCACGACCTCCTTTTCCTAAGGGCTGGTTTGTAAAGTTGAACGGGAAAAGCGGGCCGTATTTGGCCCGAAGGTGATGCAAGTGGCTGTTTTTGCAAACTTGAAGTACCAGATAACTAACATATCAATAATTTTATCTTCTGCGCGAACCTGCTTATCTCTACCTATCTCAGGGTTAATCTCATTAACGCAAATACTTTACGCCCATCTTGTCATTTTCCTCTTCTTTTCTTCTTTCCTTTATTCTACGACGCATTTAACTGAGCAAACGTTATCAGTCGATGCACTGGTGTAGAGATCGTGTCTGGTGATGTTTTTCGAACTAATCGGCCATTATACTGTTGACCGGCCCTTTCGGAATCAGTGTCAATTGTCAGAATATCGCTTTTAGCTCATTTCTCATGTTCTGTGTGCGAATGATTTTGCTTAGCTGTTAAAAAACGGATAATTTGATGCTAATTTCTATTGAGCGAAAAACCGTTCGTTCCGAGCAGCTTTCAAAAACATACAACATTAAGCAAAAGCGTTTATCTGTTAAAAGTGAAAGTCCTTGAACAAAACCAAAGCTTGGGCGCTCACCTTTTGTCAGCAATTAGCCTCGTTTCTGAGTTAGCCGTTTTTCCCATTACTGGGGACTGGAAATAGCTTGGCAACGAAAATCAGCGAAAGTAGATAAACATTTAAGACAAATCTGCTTTTAATAAACTGTGAACCGTATGTCATGCAAATGATTTGCAAACAAACCTAGAAGGTGCAATAGCACGGTCTGAACATTATTTAAATGAAATTAATGGACGTAACATTGTTCCATTTGTAAGAGTAAACTGATTTTTGTTTACGCAAGATTCCTGAAATGCATCAATATACCACAATGAATATCGAATCTTACCGCCGTACCAAATTACTAGGATATCTTCTATAGCTTGACCCAAAATTTTTATCTTGCGATTACATCATCACAAATTTATTCACTGTTTCAATCATGTTTTCAATATTAAATGTCTTCGCCCCATTTTTAAAAGGTCCTTGTAAACAACTTACAGACAATGTCGCGTAATTGCATGAGGTCAATAGGCGGAGTGAATCATGGCAAGACGTAATGGAAGATAATCGATCATCGATCTGACAAATGCAAGTTGTGTTCTTTGGATGCAAATTAGCTGATAATTCTATTTAATTCCTTAAAAGCGTTGTTCATCAGTCAAACGAAGATACTAAGCTATAAAGTGATCTTTACAATGCAGCAAAAAAAAAAACAAAACAAAACAAAAACGAAACAAAAAATTCTTGTCAAAGCTTCTGTTCAGATTGAGACGGAGCCCTCTGACATATTTTATCCGATGTTTTGATTACCTACTGAGCTATAAAGAGTCGGAATAAGTTAAAGCCTTGATGGTCAGATCTTTATTGGGGCTCTCTTCGGAGAAGGAATAATGGTGTAATGGTTTCTGTCATTATGTCTTTTTATACATACCTGAAATAGTTTTAAAATTGAAGGTGCCTCCGAGATTTTTTTCGAGGAACACATACAGAAAGGTTTTCAGAGTCAAACCATGTGCCAAACTACTATTTAATCGGTTAAATGTGCTTTCAATAATCTTAGGTTCGATTACGATTTGGAAGTTAAGCTCAGTAAACTGACGCTCCATCTTAAATTTGAGAAGTAATAGCCAATAGCTTGATATAAATTTAACTGCTTAGCTTATTGATTAATATATCAAGTAAAAAAATGCTTAACTCTTTCGCCCCAAAAGTGAATGATAAAGTCTTGTGGGGTGATTCCATTTTTAAACTCTTAGGACGAAATCCAAAGGTTGTGACCATTTATATGAACCCTCTCTTTTATTACTTTAAGTTTGACATAGTAATGCTTGAAAACTTTTTTTTTTAATAATTTTTTTGGAAAAAAAATTGAAAGGGTTAAACTTTGAACCTCAAATGACTAAGTTGGTTGTGTTAATCAATTTTAGGTAACATCTGGAAACATTTTTACAGCTAAAGAACGAACAGAGAGAAGTTACGTTGTAGTTAGAAATGCAAGATATTAGGGAGCTTAAACGAAGAACGTTTTTGAGCGACGTGCCTTGACGGTACCAAATGTGTATTGCTAAGTGTCTTTACTCTTACAGAGACGATTTGCCCGAAGATTTGGGCAAAGTCTCTGCCAAAAGGGTAACGTTAACCCTTGTCTCTCAAAAAACGTTTTTGCTCAAGCTCCCTTTTTCTACACTTATTGACTGTTAACAACTTACTGAGGCTATCTGCAAAGACACCATCGCTCAACTGCGTTTGTTTCTTGTTTGTTTATCTCCTTTTTGTTGCTTAATGAATTTTTTTTTTGTTTTACAGACCAAGATGAATGTCTAACAGAGCGAGGTGGATGCACAGAGAGAGCAGACTGTATAAATACCGAAGGGTCATACTACTGTCAGTGTAAAGTTGGATATTCTGGGGATGGTACGACGTGTGAAGGTGTGTATGACAAAAAAAACTTAACCACAAATTAATTGGATCATTATATGTTTCTGGGAACTGCCCAGCCCACCTACCCCTCCCCTAAGCCAACATTTTGCCCTAAGAGAGAAGTGAGTGTTAATGTTGGCTTAGGGGAGGGGTAGGTGGGCAGTTTCCCAGAAACGTAATAATGATCCAATTTTGGGCTCAATTTAGGTTTCTGGGAAACTACCTACCTTTCCCTCCCCTAAGCAAAAGTTTTCCCCTTTGTAAGAAGTAAGTGTTAACGTTGGATTAGGGAAGGGGTAGGTGGGAAGTTTCCCAGAAACCTAAATCGAGCCTTAACTTTTTTCTCAAACCTGGTCCTCACTGTATAAATAATCAACTATCGCTCAACGGGCGCCTCTACAAGACGGATACCTCTCTCAGAGGAGCACCTAGAGTTGTTCCGTCCTTTAGCTATTAATCATTGCTACAGCTAAATTTGAGCGGAAAATATTGTACAATTAAAGGATACGATCTCAGATTTCTACCCGCACGAAAGAAAAAAGAATAATAAGTAGTGTCCTATAACAGGGCGCGCATTAACGCGCACGTTCTATTACTGTACTGTCCGCCAATGAGATCGGAGAATTTTGATATATTTCTGATAAAATTAATAAATGAATTAACCGATTGATTGCTGCCCTTTTTAATTAGACATCGATGAGTGTGCTCTTCCCGGTGCCAACAACTGTAGTGTTCACGCCGGTTGTAACAACACAGATGGCTCATTCACTTGCTCGTGTAACGTGGGCTACACTGGAGGTGGATATAATTGTTCAGGTTAGTGACTAAAAAGCTCTATAGAGTGATTCACAACATCCTTGTAATCGATTTGATGGGCGCACAGAACCGAACAGAGAACAGTAGTCTTCGAGCAGTGTCTCTTTTTCCTCAGATTTAGTTAGAGGAGTAGACATGCCTGGGAGTGCGAGAAACAAGAGCGACAGCCAAATAAGAAAAATGAGAGCTCTCTTTTTTCGCACCTCTTCCTTCTCGCGCCTTCAGTCACGCGTGTGGTCTTTTTCAAGTCTAGCGCGTTTTCCTCGACGGACTAAGAAAAAAGAGAGACTGCTCGCATTCTTAGAGGAACTTTATCATCTGAT